AATAAAACTTTCTAGCAACCACATATCAACCTTTTGAGTGTTTAATTCAGTCTGCACAAAATTGAAATGGGTATTGAAGCACTGCTGCTCAGGAATGTGCCAGAGAAATGCAGCAAAGACCTTTGACTGACTTAAGCCAGGAAGACATGTAATAACTCCACTGCTAAGAACACAGAATGCATTTTTAATTACTGAAACATTAGGAGCATTACATTTTAATCATTTGCAATGGCCCATTTGCATTTAGTGGTTTACAGCTTTATCAAAAGCATGTGGTAGAAAGACTTCCCTATTCTGCATATTCCAAATGAAAACATCTAATATATTTTTACAGCTGAAGCAGTTATTTGTCCCACGTGCCATGCATTTTTAATGTGTTTTTCATTAGCATACCTAGTCTTCAGCAAGCTTTTGATAAAGGATTCTGCAGAAAGGTTGAAAAAATTAATTCAGATCACTTTGAGCACAAAATCACCAGAGAGACCAAAATCTCACTGAAGGAGCATAAAACCAGAGCAGTGATGAACCAGAGTGCACTGAGTTTGGAGGAGGCATTTGGTAGGGCTAAGGCAAGTTCTTTCCTTTCCTGGCTTATTTCACATGTAACACTGGTGACCTGAAAAAGGACTGAGGAGAATTATTCATTAAAGCATAAGGGTTGAAAGCACCCAGGGGGGCAGAGAACAGGATGTGATGGACGCTGAAGAAGACTCTGGATTTCAGCATGAAACTCACTGCTGAGATGGGGATTTTTAAGTAACTCCCAACAGCACAAAGCTAAAGAACAATATTAAAGATTGTGCATCTGATCTACACCCAAAAGCAGGGCACTCTCTTCCCCCACTTTCCATCATAAATGAAAATTATCAAGTGTTAACCTCTTAAGAAAGTTCAACTTTCTTCTGAAAAACCAGCAGAATGGGGTATAATCTGAGGACAAAAGTATTGTCCACACCCAAAAAATAACGTGCATTTTCTCCTTTTCAATGCGAATCCTGGCTGTTGGGCATGCTGGACAATTTTAAACACGTCAGATCAATAAAGGCCCTGTGATTAGTGCTGCAAACCCATGGCACAGCCACTCTTATTGCTGACACCCAGGCTGAAGGCTCTAAGGAGTCCCTTTCCATCATCACCTCCAGCAGTACCTGCAGGTGCAGCTTTCTGAGTGATGAGCACTCAAAACTCTTGGGGAAATGCTGCAGCTCAGCCTCACAGACAGCAAGACTTTATGTCCAATTTCCTGGCCAGCAACACTTCAGTGAATCCTTCTGAAAAAAACCTAGGTACAAGTTTTGCTTTTCAGGCTTATTTTGACCTAATCAAAATATGACAAAAAACCTTGATTTTGTCTTCCCTTGCCTTCCATTTTTGCCTCCATGACTTGCACACTGTGTATTTTTCAATGTCTATTTTTTTGCCTGATACAATGTTCAAACTCTGCACAAAGCACCTCCCCCTTTTTCTTAGTATTATTCGACATTTATTAATTGGAAATAGCAGCCACAAACTATAGCCCAAATAGGTAAGAAGAAAGAAGCTTTGGGAAGTGAAATCTATGTAGTTCATTTACAATCTTCCTCTGTGTGACATTATTCCTCCATGAAATAAAGCCACTAATACTTTTAATGGCTTGCAGTACTGCTGGGAAGCTTCATATATGTAAGATGAAAAGAGCTTTGTTATTAATACTGTTACAGGAATCAATATTAGTATTATCTGCAAGTGTTTAAAGGCTGTAGAAATTACAGAATCGATCAGGGGAGATGCCTTAGCAGGGGAGCCAAGAAAATGAGGATCTGTAGGAGATCAGGAAATTATTTCCAGCTTGACAAACAAGAATGTTTTCCAGTAAGAGCAGAGAGGTTCTAGGAAGAATCCCCAGCAGCAGCCAGGGAAGCTCAAGCTTGAGTCACTCAAATGAAGAACAGATTAGGCACGCGGGCATCCAGCAAAGGAAGGAAATGATCCTGCACCAGAAGATGACTTAATACACATTTAACCTCAGATTGCCATTGTTTTGAATGTATTCTGAGATGTTCTGAGTTAAATAAATACATATGCCTTAAAATACGCTCCCTGAGGATTACATGTGGTTTTGACAATACTACTTATTGAGGATAATCATGCTTCCTAAGACGATTTAAAAAAAATAGCAGAGAAATCATTCTCTTGTCTCTGATATCATTAGGGACGTTTTCTAAAAGCCCTGTCTACAAAGCACTCAGAGAAATGTAAGGAATCTTCATTATTCAGCATTATATTTATGTCAACAGCTTCCAGATTTAGTCATTTCTACACTAGCTGCGTAACATTTTGTTTGTACAAGATCAAAAAAATCCTTTAGCTGTAATCAAATCAGTGCATCACATCCTCCCAACCACCAGCACACACATCTCCAATGACAATTTCAAAACTATCACCATTATTTCTGGAGAAGAGGGGGAGAAATCAGGCTGCTTGCCTCAGCCAGGATCACAGGCGTAGCACAAACCATCATAAGGTGCTGATGTAATTTTACCAAGGTGTTGAAACTGCTGGAGCTGGCTGACGTCCTGCAAGCTGCCAACTCAGTTTGATGTCACTGGCTTTAAGTCACTGACAAAAGGCAGCTGATAACGTGGATGGATTTTAGTCACATCTGTCATTAGCACCAGGCTCTCAGATGAACTGTCCCCTACAGCAGTGTTTAAGTAATTGCATTACAGCAATGCTGAACAGCTTATCCACAATTGGCTCTGAGTTGAGTGAACTCAATTTACACGTGGCCACACCATCCCCTGGCCACCTGAATGCAAGATTTATTGCCAGCACACTCTTTACAGCTGTGCCTGTGTACAAGAGCACAGAAGTTCTCAAGGCCAAGTGCAAGGTCCTGCACATGGGTTGGGGCAATTCCAAGCACAAGCACAGGCTGGGGGATTGAGAGCAGCCCTGAGGAGAAGGACTCAGGGGTGTTGGTGGATGAGAGGCTGGATATGAGCTGCCCATGTGCACTGACAGCCCAGAAAGCCAAAATTGTCCTGGGCTGCATCCAAAGCACCATGGGCAGCAGGGGAGGGGGGAATTCTGCCCCTCTGCCCCACTCAGGTGAGACCCCACCTGCAGAGCTGCCTCCAGCCCCAGAGCTCACAGTATAAGGAAGGTGTGGGTCTGTCAGGAGTGAGTCCAGAGGAGGGACATAAGGATGCTCAGAGGGCTGGGACACCTCTGCTATGGAGACAGGCTGAGAGACTTGGGGCTGTTCAGCCTGGAGAAGGCTCTGGAGAGAGCTTAGAGCCTCTTCCAGTGCCTAAAGGAGCTACAAGAGAGCTGGAGAGGGACTTTGTACAAGGGAATGTAGTGACAGGACAAGGGGCAATGGCTTTAAACTGCAAGAGGGGCTGATTAGATTAAATATTATGAAGAAATTCTTCACTATGTGTGTGATAAGTCACTGGCACAGGCTGGCCAGAGAAGCTGTGGATACCTTATCCCTGCTGGAAGTGTTCAAATTCAGGTTGGATGCACTTCTGAGCAACTTGGTCTAGTGGAAAGATATCCCTGCTCACAGCAGGAGGGTTGGAATGAGATGCTCTTTAAGATCCCTTCCAATTTAAATCATTCTATGACTTTACAATTTCAAAAGCTTCCCACCACTGCTGTAGATATGATTCAATTCAATTCCTGTCTGATTCCAGCAGGAAGGAGCAATCTGCCTCTCAGCCTTTCCTTGTAATGAGCCTGTCAGACTCTCTGTGTTCACAGCATATCCAACAGAGACAGCCACGGCCACGGCTTCCCCCGAGTAAGATCTCTTTGCATTGCCAGTGCTGGCAGGGCTGAGGCAGCATCTGCAGCAGCAGTTTTCCAGACATTTCTATACTGTTGATAGGTCTGAGGAGACAAGAAATGTTGTGGTAAAGATGCTCTGAGGAGAAGGAGCAGGGAGAACACCAAAGTAGAAAAAAAGACCAAGCTTTGCTGCTGCAATTCTTATAGACACAAAGGCACTTTCTCTCTGCAAAATTTTTGCCCCAGCTCCTGAGTTACAGCTGGGTTTCCGTCACTCTCTTCCATGGCTGGGTGGCTGCTCCCACATGGAGTTCAGCTAAGGAGAATTCCCCACTCTCCTACAGAGACATATTTGTCATGCTTTTATCAGAGAAATCCTTGAGAGAGACTCCCAGAATCCAAACTGAAGCAGCAATTCAGTCCCAATTTGCCTGGCCTCTACTCAGGGGATGAGAGTGAACAGGAGTTTGCACAGAGCTCTGTGGCTGGTGGGTAACAGTGCTCCTCACAGAACATCAATCAGCATGAGCTGTTAGGCAGGGCAAGGACCCTGTCAAGAAGCTCCTGCTCAGATGGCAAGGACAGCCCAGAGCTCCATCTGGGCAAGCAGCTGAGTATGGAAAAGGGCAGGCATTCCATCAGACTTGCCCTGGCCACTCTTCCAGCCTCACAGATAACTGAGGCTCAGGGAACACTGTGTCAGAGCTGACATCCCTGCACTTACCCAAATGGATGTGGTCTTAAAGGGCAATGCTCCCCCTTAAGATTAATTTCATCATCTGCAGAACACCATGAAGATGAATCAGGGGCAGTTTAGGCTGGATGTCAGAAGGTTTTTCAGCTAGAAGGTGGATGGGCACTAGAATAAGCATCCAAAGCTCCACAGGGAAGTTGTTACAGCCCCAAGCCTGCCAGAGTTCAAGGAGCATTTGGACAACATTCTCAGGCACATGGTGGGATTCTTGAGATGTTTTGTGGGGTCAGGAGTTGGACTCGATGATCCTGATGGGTGCCTTCCAACTCAGCATATTCTATGGTTCTATGACAAGAGGATGAAATTGTTGAGCACTTGAAAGACTGGTTTTGACTTATAACCCAAAATTTGTTTTAATACAGACATCAGTTTATAAATATGACAGTTCTGTTTGTCCAGATGTTTTTTTTAAATAACATGCTGCCATGCAAATAACCTGCAATTTCAAAAGCTCTCGCAGCCATAACGAATTCAGACAGAAAACCTTCAGAGTTAGTAATGAAAAGCAAATATTGAGGGTGTAGGCAGCAGAGTGAGAATGTGCTTCATACAAGCATTTCTAATAGAGACCATCATTTGCAAAGAATTTGGATAAACAAGGTTGGATTTCCACATGGAACTGTGGTGGAGGAAACTGAAGGGCAAGATCTAAAATTAGCCCTATTTCTCTTTTTGTGTTTTGTTTAATGAAGTACCTGGAGCAATTTCCCAGCTATGGACAAGAAATGTCACTGACAAAGTGTCTCTGAATTCCATGCTTTCTCAAGTATCCAAAGAGACAAATTTTTTAAACTGCCTGCATTCAAAGAAAAGGAAAGTGGGGAAAAAACCAAAATAAAGACACACAGTGTTAAAAAAAAACAACCAATCAAAAAACCTCAACCAAACAGAAAGCAGAGAAGAGTCTATTTTTCTCCAGCACTCATTTGTTGGCAGATGTTCTGCATGATCAAAACCAAAAACCATTAAATTTAGTCTTTATTATTAATACCTGAGCTGATTGTTATTTCTTATTCTTCAAGAGATCCTTGACAGAGTAATGTTCCAATCCACTTCTTTGAGAGTTACAGAATGGAGATCTTATTGCATCTTTAGATGGAAAACACCAGAAAAAAAAATACTGACAAATCTCAGGTGGATTTCTACCCAATATGATACAGGCTTCTTTTTCTGTGGCTGAGGACAGGGCTTCTTTAAATCTGAAAGTTATGTGAAACCCTCAGCCAGGACACCAACACAAGGACAGCAGCTGATGGAGGAAACTAAAGCTGCCTATTTTGTCCAAGATGGGAACAGCTGCTCTGCAAACAAATGGTGCTCCACAAGAAGAGAACTCTATTGATCCCACAAGCTGCTCCATGGACAGAAATCTGAGTCATCACTCATGTGCTTTATGCTGGTGCCAGCCTGGGAAGGTGTAGGCAGGCACAGCTGATACCTACACAGAGGATTCAGTGAGCAGTGTTGGTTAATAAAGGGTGTCCATCTTTCAGAAAGTTTTACAAAGGCAGAAAAAAAAGAAGAAAAAGCCCACCTCATGAAGTGAGAAAACTACAGATACCTGTATTATCTTCAAAAATTGTGTCAAACATTTGGTATTCCCCAATAGCAGTAGAAACATTTGGTTTTCTCCTATGATCTTTTCCAGCAAAAAGAGCTATTAAGAATTCTTCTTAGTGAACATGAAGTCACACCAGCTCATCCAAGTTTCCCAAAGACAGTAGGACAGTTTGCTGTTAACATTCTTACTCCACTGGAACCTTTATTAGATTTTTTTTCCTTCTTTCTTTTCCAATTGGTGTATTCAACATCGAGGCACATTTCTGTCTCTTCAAAAATGCTGTGAGACAACTTGAATCAAATTCCTCTTTGTCTCAGATACAACAAAGAGAAATAAAGAAAATCAAGCCAATTATTTTCCTCTCTTCGTTTAATGGGAAGGACATTCTTCTTCAGGGAACAAGGATAGGCAGAGACTAAGAATTCAGGGAAGGAATTTGAGGGAGTTATCAGCTGCATACAAGGCAGTGGGAGAAAGATGGGCCTGATGTACAGGCTGAGGTCATGGACATTTGGAGATTGACAATGGAAAAGCAAACAGGATGATTTTCTGAAAATAATTTAAAAAAAATTCAGAGGATGATTTCTGGGGCTTCTCTTAGTGGGAATAGTGACAAAAGCATACATAACTGGAAAGCTGTCATGTCATAAGCCTTAATCAAAACAGGCCTTGAAGAAGCTTCCTGAAGGGAGGCAGCACATCCAGGATACTCTGCCAGCACAGGGCAGTGCTCTACTCTCCTGCATGGAAAAACAGGACCTTATACTGTAGCAGCTCCAGGTGTTTATGAGCTGAATCTTGGCTAGCAGAACCTGAAGATGCTGGTCAGGGAAACAGGAGATGAGCAAGAGTGGGAGGAAGCTGCTGAATTTTCAGAGCAGAGACATTTAGAAATAGATTAAATGTTGGAAAACTGCAGAGATCTCACACAAAATGATGGGAACAAGATCAGGTCTTGGATCTGACCCCTCATCTGATATCCAAACCAGGCAGCTCTCTCTTGACAGAAAGCAGATTTCCTCTGAAGTCAGGAATCTGAACCTGCAGAACTGCTTTATCTGAGAATCTTCCTCCCTTGCTGTAACTGGAGAAGTTTATTATCAAAAAGTCAAAGAATTAGCCATGATCATCCTTCTTTCTACAACCCAGCCATAAGCAATTAGCACTTCCAAACTGCAGAGTAGCCTATTTATTATTTCCATTAGTAGCTGCAAATTAATTATAAATGTTTCCCATTTCATCCTCTTACTTGACCTAGGAGCCTTTTTTGGACAACATATTGCATCAAGTTATTACCTTGTTTGTTTTATCACAACAATTGGAAGGGCATATTTGGGAACTCACAGCCAGACACGATTCTTTGAGGGTGTTTTGGGTTGGTATTTTTTGCTGGAACAGCTTATGTATATATTAGCCAACATCAATTAAAAGGAAAACCTGGACTAAGACATGTAAAATTTCAAAGCACGGCTGAACAAAGAACCATGTACTTGATGTTCTCTGAGGATCCCATTTTTACCAAAATATATTAAAAATCCCTATAGAAATGGTGTTTTCCCTTACAAGAATTACTTAATTTCCTGAGACCTTGGAAGAGAGAGCCTGTGGCATTTCACAGCAGGAAATTATTTGATGAAAAGCTTGAGCAGCTACATTTTCTGTAAAATAGTTAAGGGGACCAGGAACTATACAAATAGCTTTCAGTTTACCAAACCTAACCACAGCTTTTTCAAAAACTCAGCATCAAAATAATGTCTGGAAAAAGCAGATGCAATCTCTCTCATTTCAGCTGCTCTAAGTATTTACCAGTCATACTCCAGCAAGGTTTTAGCAGCACAGAGGGATAATTAACCTCCCCAGTCCTGTCTGCACACCAAAATCTCCTCATAAATCTTGAGGAAGCACAGGCAGGGCAGTGTCACAGCTCTGTCCCCCTGCTGTCCCTCACGAGCTGTGCATGCAGCTGCCAGCCCAGTCCAACGTCAATCCCTGCTGGCTCCTGCTCGGGGATTTGAAGCCTCCCAAAGAGCAGAGCCTTGATGTCACTCATGCACCTGACAGTGACAACACAAGTCCTTGACGTCCTTGGAGTCCTGCACTGGCCAAAGGCATAGCTGGGAATAGCTCTCCAGCCCTGGAGCCCCAAATCCCCTTAGAGCACAGGGCCTCTCGTCAGAAAGAGACACTTTTGCAATGGGTCACTGAAGTTACAGACTTGGCTGCTTCCCCCAAATGTGTACATTTTCCTGTGTTAATCGTAGTGAACTGATATGCAGTTTCCCCTTAAAGTTTATTTTAAAGTTGGCATCAGGAAACAAGTAGCTTTTTTTAAAGCTACTTAATCAAATTTCTCCATTCCCTATTCTTAAACCTACCAGCCTTAAACTTCACATTAATGGAATATTACATACAGTGTCAAAAATTTTGTGGGAAATGCACATCTTTCCCTCCAGCTATTTGCCCTTTAGGTTTACTTTTATTTTGTCAAAAACTAATCAGGGTACAGATATAAATTTCTGGTTTGTTATTTGCAAAATCTATTGCAAGTCTACAAAATCCTGAAAGCCAAAGTTTACAAGGTTCTTAGAGCAACTTACCATTCAACAGCCACCAAAGCAGGGGAATAAAACCTGGATTTTCACTGATGTACTTCAAGCCTTTCAAGTTGATACTCACATTGTAAAGTGACATTAGCATTAGCCTAGAATTGAAAGAAAGGAGATCTGAGGCCCTTTGATTTCTTTGCATGCTTCAGCACCTTTTGCCATTTGTGTCAAGCATGTACCAATGCAGAAGCCTGTGCTAATAATTTATATTTTGGTAACAGAGATAAATCTCAAACTATATATAAGCAATGTTGTGCAAACCTTTGTTTCTATTGTTAAATCACATACTGCAAACACGTGGAAAAGAGTAAGAAGGTCTCTTACTCTTCTTACTTAAGGGAGGGGCTGGAATGTTCTCTGTTCTGGAGCCAGCTTGGCTACTGCTCTCTCTTATCCCTGTGTGTCACTGCACTGCCACCATGTCCAAACAAAAGGGAAATGATAATTCCAAATGGAGCTTCACACCTCACATCCAATTCTCAAACAAGGTCTCATGGCTTAAGCTCCTACGCTACCAGCACACTTTTGGACACTCTGTGAACACCTCCAGAGAGCAGAAAAGGCAGTGACCCATTGCAGGCTAAACTGAGTTTTCAGAGGTGTCATTTATGTGCTCTGGGTTTCATTATTAAGAAGGAGAAAGAAGGAAGAGCAGATGTAATAAATCTACTGCACCAGTGGCCACTGCCAAGCAGGGAGAGGTGCTCTGGATCTCAAATTGCAGCTGGTAAAGGCCATACATTGCTTTTCCTCCAGCCCCTGCAGCTCTGGGCTTCCAGAACAAGCCCTGACAAAAGAGCACAGCACAACCTATAATCAGCCAGAATGGAAATGATCAATAAACCATCATCTTATAATGGCAATGTTAACATTTCTTGAGAATGTCTTTTACCCTTAATCTGTTTGACATTTGCAGTTAGAAATAAAGTGACGTAAAAAGGCGCTGCTGTGTTTGTATTTTTATTTCACTTGTTTGCTTTGTGCAGACAAAAGGGACTGGTGCTGGTGATCCAGGGAAGTGCTGAGGTTTTTGGAGTGCTGGAACACCCCACAAGCCAAAGCAGTGGCACATTAATATATAACAGCATATTTAATTAAACACACTCACCTAGGCACAACAGAGAAGCACTTCCAGGCCCTTTATAACCACCTTCACCCCCAGTATCAGCACATTTTAGTAAATATTTTTTGCAACAATAATTGCAAAAGTGCTTATTGAAGCAAACCTGACACAAATAAACAATACTTTCTGGTGTTTTTTTTTCAAAATGTGGAGTCTTAATTATGCATTTCATAATCTTAGACAAGCCAAATTTAATTAACATCTTGTACTACTGTATCTATCAATGCTTTCTTTAAAATCTAGAACTAAATACACAGCTAAAGTCCCTTTTTGTCTTGTAATACATGGGATTAGTATATAAAATGTACTATTATGTTTAAATATGTCTTTTTACTGGCTACTTTCAACTGCCACAAAAGCAAAGTTAAATGTTCTTAACCATTTAATTACAGCTACAAACAATTATGCAAATGTTTATTGACTGTGTAACAATTACAAAGACTGAACAAATCCTACACCAATGAGAAGAAAACCTAAAGTCTTTCACATCTGCTATTTCAGAAAGGCAAGGACACCCCTGAGATTTCAGTCTCAGCACTCAGGTTGATGCCTAGGGTATATTTATTCCATACTCACAGACTACACAGGATATCACAGCAGTTTTGGAGTAAGCAACAAGTTGTCCCTGTAATTTTTTTTGTTTATATATTCATCCAAATAGAACACAGGATTGCTAGAACAAGAAAAGAGAACTCCTCTCTTTATCAGCTTACTTTGATACTGCTGTGTGTAGAACTGGCCCCCTGATTTGTCACACAGCAATGAAAAATATTTTTGAAAATAAAAGCTAGAAAAGAATTGTAAATCCTCAGAACTAAGCAAAATACAACGACAGCATTTAAAATTAAAAGCCAAATTTTTTCTTCAACTGATTGGATTTTAAGTTGATGTCTTCCCATGCAACACCACAGTGATACTTTAAGAAAAATACATTGCATTCCCAGAATAATGAACAGACATTTTTATCTGTGAGGTATAGTTTTAAAATGTATCTGAATGTATGAATATGTATATAAATGCATGTGCAAACATTATTTATGATGACTGCAGAGTCCATCTTCACCTAACTTTGAAATTGCATTAGAATTTATGGCAACCTTCATCTCCTTGTCTCACAGTTGTCTTTCATTTTGTCCTGGCTTATGCTCCCTATGGGAGAAGAAAACTGAGTTCTTCTGACACATCTGCTTATGAAAATGCTGATTAAGGTTAACCAGCAGCTAAAAAACCTTACACACAAAGAACAATTTAAAAACAAATCAACCAACCCTCCAAAACCCTTCTTTTCTGGGCTGGGAAACTGTAAAACTCTCCAAAAGGATAAGAAAAAATACACTGTTAGTTAGGAACAGGTTTTCCAAACTGAACAGCAACAAGACACACACAGAGCTCATAAAAAAAAGGGCTTTTTTTTTAAACTATGGACATGAAAGACAAACACAGGGAAACATTTTGCACTAAAACATTTGAGCAAATCAAGCTCCGTCATTCTCTGTCAAGGCCATGAAGAAATGTCCTTTCTGCCATTTGTTCTAATGTCAGAATACAGCATTTTTTTAAATCCAATGGCAAGTTCAGAGTAAGGGGAAAAAAAAGTTCGTTCTTTGGGGATCAGAAAATATCATCACTGCACTGCACTCAAGCTATTGTAACATATGCTTAACATTTCTCACTTATCAACCACTTTGAGCAACCTCTTTTCCAAGCTTCCCTCCATTTGTTAGCCTACCAAGCTGGCCCCTGTTGAATTCCTTGCCACCTCATGGGATTGTTCTGTGAATATTTTACCAGCAGTGCTGTACTGGCAGCCAAGTTTACAATACCATGGGTAATTCTTCTGCAAAGCAAGCAGATTTTGAAGTATAATAACAAGCAACCCAAGATATATAAACTCTAAAGAAAGGCCCTCAAATCCAATTACATTAATACAATATGAAGTGTTCAAAAAGAGTTTATCTGGACCCATAGACACTTATCCACCTCAAATTCAGAGTGTGTGTGTAGGAACATCTTCCCTCCTCCTCTCAAAGTCCTCTTCTATTTTTCCCCCATTCACAGATTCTGAAACAACATGGATCCTCTTTTCAGGGTTGTTTTTTGGTTTTGGTTGTTTGGTTTGATTTTTTTTACACACAGGAAGGCACAAATTACCTTTTATTTAATAAACTGAGATTCTCATACAATTCTTTCAGTTGGGATGTTCTCAAAAAACCCCTACCACTGACCTTCAAGCCCAGTGCTTGGGAAACAGAGTAAATAACTGATCTCAAATCATCAAGCCACTATCTACAGCACAGGCTGTTCAGCTTTCCCCTCACCACCCAACAGGGAAAGGCAAACACCTCCAGAGGGCACCTTGCTCCCCTCACATGAGCAATCACCTGACAGCACCATCTCCTCCCAGTGAGTGTGGGAAGGAGCCCAGGCAGTCAGCAAATGCTTGACATCCCCCTCTGTGACACTGAGGTTAGGCAAGATAAAACCTCTCCAAAGTGAGACCGAGCCTGATTTCATGACTATCACGTCCAACCTGCCTAAATGTGTGCCTGGATGTGGTCAAGTTACTGTAGCTGACAGGGCTGCTGTTTGTCAGCTGAGCTGGGACAGCTGCCTGGGGCATGAATTGTTTTGTGTATTTATGAAAAAACCACTTTCATGAACAAATGAACCAGGTGTACAGGACCAGTGCCCACGGTTCAGCACATGAGCCACTCGTTAAGCCACAGTAATTTGCTCAGCCAAGGCCATATATCCTCAGCTTGTAAGGTCTTGGAGAAAAAGGCAAAGACAATTGTTTATTTAATGTCTCCATCAGCTGAAAAGTACTTTTGCAGTAGCTGAACTGTGCAACGGGGTCTTGCCTTTAGAGCTGTATTGCAAGGTCACTTTACAGGCACTGCCTTTTACAGACTGAAGTGTGTGGTGAGTCTGGCTGCTAAAGAGCCTAAAATGATTTAATTTTTGCTCTTAGCAGCTCCATAACTCACTTTCTTCACTAAGGACATGTGACATTTTAAACTTCATATTAGGAGGGAATAAAAACGAGTTCACATTTCCCACATCTTCTGTAAAGTAAAACTTGACCCCACACCTTCCTTATTTCACACCAAACTCATGACCCCCTCCCAGGCTGGAAGAGGGCACCCCTGCTCACCTTTATGGTGCTTAAGAGACTTCCCAAGAGACACAAAACCTGGATAAAGCTTTGTAGTCAACCCCAGTATATCTGCAAGGAATGCTACTGGGAAAAGAGCTTCCAAAAATTATGTTTCCTCTCCAGAAAAGGCATAACGGGAGAGTGGGAAAACGGGAGAGTACTGTCATTACTTGAGCTGCACTGCAAGATAATGCATATGAAAGGGGCAAGAAAAGTCAACATACACTTTAAATTTGCTACAGAGTCCTGGCTTCATGTCTCCCAGGAGATGCATCATCGTGTCCAGTAATTCCCGACTGGAACTGACCAGGAACTCACGGCCACACGCCAGCGCAGCCACATCTGTGGGAAAGCCCAAAACATCACCAAAAATCATGTTTCAAACAAGAGTTTCTGCTAATTATCAGGACCACTAAAAAGATTGGTCAGCTGTGAAGAATGAACTATGGCACTGGTATAAATTTCAGTCTACATTCACCTATACAACAAATAGTGAACAACAAACACTAGTCAAGCTCCTTCAAAATTCTGCATTGGTAAACAAAGCATTTATTCAGAATGTCCCAGTAGCACCACAGTAAATTGTGAAACAAAAGGCTATATTCATCCACAGGTAATGGGTGACTGCAACAAAGCTGATCATTATAGGTTCCACTTTAAAGGAACAGGATTGCAGAGTTTTACAACCACTCAGTTCAATATACCTGGCACATCACACAACCAAAACTCTTACGAACATCTACTCAAAACAAGTTTTTTTCCTACCTCTCTGCAAGTGTGGCATTATTCAACCACAAACCAAAAGACAAAATTATTTGCAAAGGCTACTGTTCCAAAGCAGACTTTCCTTTATTATTTTCCCTTATACCTGCCCCCTACTCAGTAGAGTGGCATAACACATCACATAATAATTTTATTATTTTATCTTTATTGACATCCCAACATCTAAAAATCCTACATTCAGAAAAGCAGTTCATTCAAGAATCATTTATTTATACCAATATCCACTGCTTTGTCTATCTTGCATCACGTCTTTAGTGTAATTTTAATAGCTACAGTTTCACAAAAATTCAGATGATGTATCAGCCTCACAGCCTCCCAAACCAAGCACAGTCATTCTGCAACAGATATGCGGCTTTTTACTTATTTTCTAGACCTAAAAAAAAATACTTAGCATGGCAGTCAGATATATAATCTTCTACTTCTCTTATACAGTGGAAGTGTGGTGTATGTGACAGTAACAAAATTTTTAAGCACTTTCAAAATCCTTAGTCCATGCCTTAAGCTGGGGCTGATCTACCTGCATCATCTGCAGTTTGTAATCTTGTAGATGTTCACATCACTGGTGATTCACAAAGCAAACTGCTCAATGTGTACAAACTATGGGAGCATACAAGACTGGTACAATGGTCCTTGTTTCACTCCAGGCTAAGGGATGCAATAAGGAATTTCAGAACTCAGTGGCTCTTACCTGTCTAGTCCTTAACAATGCCACAGGCAGCACAGAAGTGCTTGTAACAGAACTATCAGTAACAAAATTTGCTAGAACTTTGGAAAACCAGAAAGTCACTCAAGATATCAACAATGACAACGTAACTTTGAAAAGTTGCATTTACAGCAGCTCCTATGAGGCAATACACATTCCCAGTAGGTGTGGAATGCTATTCTGAGACACAGCATTAACTTACTTGTTACAATCCCTGCCAAAGCTAATACAAACTGATTTTCCTCAGAATCCAAATCCTGCTGTTTCATGTCTTCACTTAATGACTTCACAAAGCTCTCCATGGTCTGGGCAGTGATTGTGAAAAACTTTACTGCTTTACTCTGCAAGCAAGGAGGAAAAGAAAGATTACACAGACTACAGCAACTATAATTATTAGATGCTACAGTAAAACTGGTCAATCTTCCAAATTACTGAAACATCCAGTTACTTCAAATAAACAACAGAAAATACCATGTATTCACTGAGTGACATGTTTGATCCCCTAATATTTGAAACCATTACCTTAGAAGAAAACAGGAAACCACTCAAGGCCACATTTATTCATAAAACTGAACTACTGCATATCTACCTCCTAAGCACACAATAATATATAATCAACCAGCAGAATGAAAGCTTATTAGCAGAAGTAATAATGTTTTCTCTTTGTTTTGCAGTAGTTGCACCAGGTGTTTCACATTCACCTGGCCTCCTGCAGTAGCTTTTGTCAAAGTCAGCTGAAGACTGTAAACTTAACATGAAATTCCTGAGAAAACAATGAAGTCCCCAGAAAAAAAAAAAAAAAAGCAGGATTCAAATGGATCCTAATAGCACTCATTAATTGCTCAATAACAGCAACAAGATATGCAGAAGTTCTTTGGAAAAGGAAATGGAGGTCTCTCCTGGGTCACAGGTTGAGCTTAAGTCAACCACGTCATGTGAGAAAAAGTAATCACCACAGCAGAGCACATGAAAGGAGCACAGCTGTAATTTGGGACAGTCTTTTCCCCTCAGCTGCAATCCTGCTCCATTTGGAGGTATCTCGGCTGACGGAGCACCACCTGGTACAAAGCTCAGGTCAAAGAGCCTGGCCTGAGGTGCAGAGTCTACAGAGAAGGATGGAGAGACCTGTATCTGTTTATTGGTAATTCTGACTAGTAAAACACTGCTGGAACTCTATTTCACACAGACGATGAAGGCTTTCATAACCAAAATTGTGTGGCAGAGAGCCCATAATGCTGGGTTTTCCCAGTGTCTTTAACAATTTTTCCAATTGTTTCATGAAGCAGTGACCCAATGGGAGAGTTCAAGAAATGCCAGAACGTTTATTCATTTTGTGAAGTGGCTGAAAATCTTCATACTTTTACAAAATTACTGCTCTGACAGTATGTGCAAAGCTAGTGGTAACATCTATTTATTCCTCCACTGCTGCAAATTCACCACATTAAAGATGTACTGTTCCTGTGGGATGACTTCAGCAAGAGGGGACAAAAAGCAGGCTCAGTCAACACAGTATCTTCACAAATGATGCTGTGGCCCCAGAACAACAGGAATGAAGGCATCATGGAGAAAAAGGAGAAAGGTAAAATTGCAGGTGCTGGATGTAGTTTTTAGATGGACACCACTCCTCAAAGATAGCATTTTTAACAGAAGCGCTGACTACAGCTCAAGAAGCAAGAGGGTGTGAGAGAAAATGAAGAGCCCAAGAAGTCATTATGAAAAAACACATTCAGTTGGTATGTTGCACAGAAAACAACACAAAACTTCCATCTGCCAACCTCTGGAGGTTTCACTGGTGCTCTCTGTGCTGATCCTCCTTTCCACACAGCCACTACTTAACTAGTGCTGAGTTCCAGCAGAGACCCATCAGGTTTATAAACAGCAAACACTGCACACTCTGCACAGTCCCTTATTAACTTGATGGCATTGTTGTGGGACTGAAGAATGTCTCACCCACACACGTTGAGATAAGGACAGTTCTGAAAGCAGCCATTGAGGCGCTTGAGCTCAGATGGTGCAATGAACCCTCTGCTGTCTGTGAACTCCTGTGTGAAAGCTCCAGGTAACATGAAAAATTGCTGCCACAAAATATAAAGTCGTTTTCGCCATATCAGACAACTGAAGTAGCAAAACGCCTTGTAGGATCCAAAATTGCTTCTCAAGTTGAAGCAAGTCTTGATGCTGTTCTGAAATCAAACCTCCAGGTTGTATTTCCATGTGAGAAACCTGTCATATCTGGCTGAAGCTTTTTGAAAGACATCCAAAACAATCTCATAGAAATCAATGTACTTCTTTTTTTGGTGCATGCAGGTAGGAAACCTTGAAAACTCTCTCATGGTGTTTCTCTGGATGTCTCTTCAAATTCTCTCTAGGAACATGGGCAAAACCAGCAGGCATCTCCCCCCCACTGCCTTGAGAACTACCTGTGTCACATTTCAAATCTGCTGCTTAAGCTCTGATTTTCCCAACCCTTAGGGACACAAAACAATATTGGTCACTTAGATAATTTCAGTCCATTTGCATTACAGGACTGGAAGAAAGACCTACTTCTGTATTGCTTCGAAGGCTGAAAAAAGCTTGGGCATTGTTCTGTAAGGCATGACATGATTCTGAATTGATGCCACCTTCCCCATGTGCTTAAATATCAGCAACAGTTTCAAAGCACCCTTGATGTTCTCATGCATTTGCGTGGTTCACAGCACCTTCTCAGGGGAGGAGGGAAGAAGCTACAAGCTGTACAACTTGTCCCAAAATAACCCAAACCAAATATGTTGTATGACAAATCTCCATCATCTTTTAATGACCTGACTCACTGCCAGTTGCAATCTGTGGTTGACACAATGCCACACAATCCATTTATGCTTTTCCTAGGAGTTTTGTTCCAAGCCCAGGCACGTTTCTTACGGTGTTATGTGCACCATCCCGAGAAAATGATGCCTCCAAATGTTCTTCTGATCTTCACCAGAAATACAGCAGTTCAACAGGCTTTAATGATTGCTGGAAATGACTAGGAGAACCATTTTGCATTTCAAACCAACCTCACCCACAAACAGTTGGGTTTTTTACCTTCAAACAAATCCTCAGGCAACAGTTTTTAACTAATCCAACTGAATATTAATACTTAAGACTGCTTTCAACAACCAGCCTTGTTCTTTAAATTCTAACTGCTTTATACAGTGTTTTACAGATGTTTGTCCTAGTAACTGCTGCTTGGATTTGGAATCAGAAGTTATCATTAATAAGGAATCACTGTACAGCTTTCTAATATCCAATATAAACTTTTAATTATATTTTGGAACACCCAGCTAGAACAACTCTTACAAACACATTGGTTTACCACTTACTAAAATGAACTAATCCTATTCACTCAGCTGCTCATAATGCTGCTGAAAAATCAAGCCAAAAGAAACTGTGGCATCAGTTCACTCAGATTAAATACAGCAATTCCTTCTCATGTTGGCTGTGTCAAGAATGAAAATCATATTTTTATCAGGCTTGTTTCCTTAGTCCCTCCTAATTCCATCAGCTGCACTTGGCAGTGAAATTGTGATAGCTGCAATAATGCCATTGTCATTAACTGTTGTTGTTCTGGTTTGTTATTGGGTTTTATTTTTTTTAATAGTCTACTTGCCCATGTTTAATATTTATGATTTAATATGACGAACAAGCAGTGAGGGTCTCAATTTCCAAGAGTCATTCACGTATTAAGGCAGCAGAAAGATTTTAAGAAGCTGAGAACCAATGGATCTGTCTTTTCTCATGGAAATAGCTCCTCCAAGCTCTCCACAGGCATGGAAACTCCTGCATGTGCCCAGGAACTATTTTCTCCTTCTGTTAGCTTGTGAAGATATTTACATTCTACTAACTGTAGTCTTGCTTCCAGTGTGTGGTGGAAAACAGATAACCCTCATTTGGTAACAAAAGAAATAATTACTCCATTTATTCATAACACTTCACAGCTCCAACCCTTCTCAAAAGAGAATTGATGGCTCCCAAAGAACATGCAAACCAGAAAACATTTTTGCTGTCCAGTCAGTTTCTGAAATACATCCTTTAAGTGTGTTCGACAGCAAAGCCCTTATTTTAAAGGTCCTTGTTTTAAAGGCCTGAGGGCATTCCCAGGAGTCAGTATTCACCTGCCATACTTACTCCTCCTAGAATGGACTTCACAGCCTCCTCATTGCTGGACACCCCCCAGAGCAAGGTGCACACTGCTGCTCCCATCTCTGTGCAATACTCTGCCTGCTGCAGGAGCTGCTGCTTGGCCTCGTTCAGCTGCTGCCGCAGGTCCAGTTTCTCCTGGAACAGCGTAAGGAAATTTTGGTTGCACTTCACGTCTGCCACACCAAGTTTCTAGGCTAAGGGACAGAACCAGAAACACAATCATGGCCATCTCTGAAAAGGGAGGGTAACCCAGAGCTGTTACAGACACATTCCTTCTCTCCTGAGCTGTCTCTAAGTAGTGCAGGCTGACAGGAACCAGAAACTGTCCACAAGGTCAAACCAAGTGACCCACCGAGACTGAGTGGCACCTAGAGAAGCCTGGCAGGAGACATCTCCCCCTGAGCAAACAGCTCCATTGTCTCTTCAGGAGAGAGGGGATTTCAGCATCAGGGGCCAGCCTTCCCTGACACCTTCCAAAAGATACAGGAAACATCTTACAGGAGGGGAGGGTTGTTTTGTTTTTCAAAACAGGCTTCTGTTCTAGCCAACGTGGAAGGAACAGTTGCTGGATATCTAGGATAAATACTCTTGTCTCTTCCAGCTCTTTTCTCTTGGCGTAGTCCTGAGCAGCAAGTGGTAAAGCAAGACAGAGTCCCAAAACACACACCTAAGGTTTGAAGTTTGGAGAACCTTCCATTGCAAGAAAGCTGAGGCACCACTGTGCGTCCATGAGATTCTGAACAACCTGATCTAGTGAAAGTTGTCCCTGCCCACAGCAGTGGGGCTGGAATGAGGTAAAACCACCTCAAAATCCCTTCCAATCCAAACTATCCTGTAACACAATGATTCTGTGATCACTTAAGTGACCTGCTAAGTGGTTCTTGCCTCAAAGCATAAAGAGAGAATAGATCAACCCTACAGAACCAGAGCACAACCTCCATTTGGCAGTACTTTTCTCCAATCACAAGGGAAGCTGGCCGGAAGAATATCATGGAATTGGGCGGGATTCTAGGTCTCACTGGCTTCCTACCAGCTGCCACAGGAGCAGCAAAGCTGCTGCACTTCTTGGTTTAGAGCCAGCACAGACAGGGAGATCAAGGCAGGAATTCTGCAGCCTGTGTCTCAGGGTGGATGGGGACTCCCAGCTAACCAGGCAGGGTGGTGTTAGTGCTGCAGGGAAAGATCAAGGCCAGTCCAGAACAATTATGCTAACTCAAGTATTAAAAGAGAGAGAATCACAGATTGCACACTGTCAAAAAACAGAAGGATCTTACTCTGCCCATTTTACAGACATGATATTTTCAAATTCACTGCAGAAAACACCTTCCTCAGCTCAGCCTTCCCAGTGTGTTTGGCTATCAGGATGAAGTATGGGGAAATGAGAAGGAATCTTTCCTATGTCAATTTTGAAAGTAGCTAAACAGAACAAGACTTTCAATCATGTATTGTCATCAAGACTTTAAGTATCTTGTTAGTTTTGGGGTTCACCTCAACACTTCATGTTGAGGGTTTTTAAAGACTAGAAATGTAAACTCATCTGAAAATTTAAATAATATGTTGTCAACCAGTACAGAGTTGTGTGTGCTCTGTCACCAACTACCTCCTGATCACACCTACCAGCCTGATTTGCACTGCTGCTGATGGAACACGCAGGTGAGGATTTGTAAAGTTCAACTTTAATTTCTCAAGCAGACTTTTGTGTGTATTTACTCTCTCACCTATATAGGCAAAAGACTGACACTCGCTGCTGATTCCATAGGCAGAAACTCTCAGGAAAAGTCTCTTATTTCTTAATACTTTGATCACTTTTAAGCAAATTAGCCAAATTCCATCTTTTACATGACTCACTGCCAGGCCTATCAGCTTTTCTGCCACCATGTGCATCCACAAAATGTCCTCAGGCATTTTCCTGCCTAATCCCTATATTCTCCCTGTCTTTTCCACACTGTCCTAGTATTAGGGAAATGTATCTTTAATACATTTTATTTGCATTTGGATGCTAATACTGAGTAAGACATAAAACCCAGTAATACCAAATCTAGATCCCCCAAAAGCATGCAAAGCCAGCAGAAAAAATGCCAGAATTTTTAATACATCAAAAGCAACATCAGAACAAAGACATGAGGCAAGGAAAACAAAATAGTACATGCAAGAGCCAGAAAAATAAATGGAGCCTGCAAAAGCAAATAACCTGGCTGGAAGCAACACTCCTAAGGGCTCACATCATCAACAATCCCTGTGCTATGCAACACCACCATCTTCAGGAAAAGGTCAAGGCACAAGAACACAGCAGTGCCCAAGTATGGAACTGTAAAAAGACAGACAAAGGAGACATCAGCCAAGAATAACATCTGCACTTCAAGTTTTGCTCAGGTTCAGAAAGCACAGCAATTCCCTAATCAGTGACACAGCTCTGCATAGAGAATTTGGAATGCAAAATGTTGATTTATGACGGCCTCAGAAAAGGACACTGCTCAACCAGAAATGCATTTATTCCATGTTTGTTTCAGTGAGTAATTTTCTTCTCCTTCAGAAGATAAATTTGTAGAAAATAATTCAGAAACTCCACACAAGGATGCCTAAAGCAGAATATCAACCAAATGAAAAACACCAGAAAAGTGATGAACAGGAAAAAAAATCACTCACGTACACACACCATCTTGCTGTATCCTGAAAGTTAAAGGACTTCACAACATCATGAGCACAGTCCACTGAAATACACCTTCCTGGCACTGAACAGAACCCAGTGACACAACTGCCACACATGCACAACAAAGACATGAAGAGAAGAGCTTTAAGCAGAAACTACCTAGTAAACTACCTAGTAAACTACCAGTGCTTTAAGTGAAACTCATCCAAAAGAAATCATAAACTCAAACCACCTGCCCTTTATCTGTAGTATTAACAAGAACCATGGGTGGGACTTGCTTCATTAATATCCAAAGCAACAGCATTCAATTTTACAGGAACTTTATCCTGCAACTAAAGACCTCAGTGCACAGCAAAATGAACTCTGTACTTACTGCTGAACTGCAACATTGATCCCAGAAGATATTTATTTTGAAATAAGGAATATCCAGATTGACAACTATTCCATCATACCAAACTTTATTCCAGAGTGTTTCATCTATACACAGATATGTACTGAAAGTGCATTTCTGAACTCCTCATTATTCCTTTTCAAAAATGAAGTAAGTTTTGTGGTTCATCTGTCTTTGTGCAATCCCAAGGCTGGCAAATGCCAGCTGTACAACCCCAACTGCTAGCTACTGCAGGAAGGCTCCAAGGAAGTGAACTTTTGCAGGAAATAATCACCACTGATTCTCACAGAGAATCATTTGAACCCAAATGGCTTCACAGACTGAGAAGTCGATGTCTTTGCTATTCCTTAATTGTTAAGAATCTCTCCTCTCATAATCACTAAATACAATATTGACAGAGCAAGAGGAGCCCTGAAATTGCTCCTTGATTCTCAGCTGTACATGGCAATTGGATCAATAGGTGCTTTGAGAAAGATTATTAACACTAAACAAAGGTACACAGCTCACAGCAAACCAAGAGAGGCTGCTTTCATTCTGTACATTGCACTGCTGAAACTATCTCCTGATCAATAGGTGCTTTGAGAAAGATTATTAACACTAAACAAAGGTACACAGCTCACAGCAAACCAAGAGAGGCTGCTTTCTGTACACTGCACTGCTGAAACTATCTCCCATTGTCCTCTTTGCAAATATGTTATAGCAATGTTAAATTCACAAGAACTGGTTCTGTGAAGGACCTTTTAATTCTAGCTATGCCACAATCTTCCCAAATGCCCAGTGTTTTACTTCAACATGTTAATATGGATATGGATGACTATATGGATAGAAATCCCAAATAGATTTGAGACCAAGGATTCATTTGTGACAGGAAAATGAAAATTTTATCATTTCTGCTTTTGTTATTAGAACTGAAACACACAGATATCAATATTCTGGCAGCACATCTACCTTCTTCTCTCTCATGCAATCTGCCTGGGCCGTTTCCAAACGGGCTCTAAAGTGTTCACAATCCATCCTCAGCTGCTCTATTTCCTCCTCCTTCTTCTCCAGGCCTGTGACAGGATAAATCAGATAAAAGAAAGAAGGAACACGTTATGGTCATCGGGCCTGCATTAAAGCAAAGAAATCCACCAAGTGTGACTTTACCGAGGTGCCTCAGCCGTTTGCTTGTGCGAGATCACCTCCCCGTGGCCAAACGGGAATCTCACAATTTGCTGTGTGGTAACAGCTCTGAAAAAGCAAACCAATGTCTGATTTAAAAGGATCACATCTGGCTGTTAAATACTGAGGGTTGAGAACATTTTTTAAAATTTACTCTATTTTCTATTTTGTTTTCATGTTGGTTTCCATGAGAACTCCATGAGTGAAATTTCACCTAAGTCAGTGACTATATTAAAAACAAAAGAAAAATACCAAGAGTAGTCAAAAGTGAATGTTTCAATCTACAATTTACAACTTACATGGATAGCAAGAACGAAAAGCAACTATTCCAAATATTTTAAAGTAGTATTTATAAAGTAGTATAAGCAACCTGGGCTAGTGAACACTGTCCCTGCCCGTGGCAATGAGGATAGAACTGGATGATCTCTAAGATCCCTAGCAACCCAACACATTCTGTGATTCCATGACTATAAACTATTTAAACATTTTGTCAGTTACAAGCAAATTTTATTATTCCCTTATAAAATTAATTTCTGATATTATCAAATTTCTGGTGTTATCATAAATTCATTCTAATTTAGGCACTTTATTTTAGTGAACAGAAATCAAGTTAAAAGTATTCCATTTCACCAGCATGATGCCTGTTCAAAAAAATTCTTTTTCAAGGACAGTTTTAATAATAGATGTGTACTGTATCTTACTTTAAAAAAGCACACCTGTGGATGCTTAGCATTTATACTGAAAAAAGGAAACATGTTTAAGTAGTTCCAAAAAGTAAAATCCAAACAGCATCTACTGTAACCTTGGTTAGTTTAAAAAAATGAATTACACCCTACTTCAAACACCATACCCTTGAATACAACAGCTTGGTCTACAGTTTAACATACTTGAAATACTTTCCCCAGTATGTGACAGGATTTTTTAATGTAATTACTAAAAATCATATCAAATTCTATCATAAAAAGACAACATAATTAAAAATTATCCAAATATGTTCTTATTAAACAAAGGACTTGGCTTCTGGCATTCTATTTAGTAGTTCCACATGATCTGAAAATAAATACCTTCCTGTTTTGGTCCTAATTGACAAGTTTATCATCTTAAGTATACACACATTGCTTTGAGTAGCCTGTATAAAAGGAGAAAAGCTGTTTGTGGCTGATTTATCTGAAGAGGTAGAACGTATTTCCACTCAGCCCTTGTGTGATTCCAAGCCAGCAACACATTTTAGCAGAAAGCAGAGGCAAGGCAAGGGTTCACTGCTGACAAACATCTCTGTGCCACGACACGCTCTCTGAGCAACTTGCTTCTTTTCAATCCTCAGTCCAAAGGAAAAGAATGAAGGGAGAAATGGATTAAACTGAGTTTTTGAGGATAACTCTCGTCAGTGGCAAGAAAACTCCCTTCTGTCAAGTGAAGAAAATTCAGTCTCATGCACTTCTGACTATGTGGCTGTGAGTCCTAAGAAGCTGACAGCAAGATGTCTTGAGCAGGAGTAGAACATGCTCTGCTTACCTACAGCAGGCCAAGAGCCTTGCCAGATAAGTTCATTCAGTGAAAATCTCTGCTCCTGCAAGGAAACAAGCTCTCCAGAAAGAGAAGAATCACTTCCAGTCTTTGAGAGGATGGATCCAGCCTGAACCCAGCAGACACACAAAGATGCCACATCCTTCTCCAGCAAACTTCAAAGGTCCCAGAACCAAACCTGAGCCAGAAGGGGAATAATAATGACTACTTATTGTTAACACAATGCAACCTGGACTTTTTAAAGGGCTTCAGATAAAAGAAGGATGTGCCAACATCCTCTAAGGTATCACAATGTTTTATGCAGAAGGGGCAAAAAAGGACAATAGTGGAAGCTGCTGAAAAGAGACTTACTTCTCATTGTTCCTTATTTGTGGAAACTTCCCTGCTATGCCCAGTCAGCTCTCCCAGCTGTGCCTTTGCTCTGAAGAGAAAGAAGCAGCTTTCACTACCAACTTGGATGAGCAAAAAAAAACCTGAAATGGTGCCTTCACACAAAGAAGAAATATGTAACTTCACCACTGCAGTGGTAAATCAGACTTTGGGAAGAAGTGGCACTTGCTCTCTAGGTAGAGACTCCAAAGCAGAACAAGACACTGGGCACAGGAAAGAAGAGAAGGCCCCCATTTCAGATGAGAGGTACACTTGGTCTCATCCACAGAAAGTTATAGGTCATACTGGGAGACTTTCTGCACCACAGATCTAATCTCAAAGCTCTGGGAGGTGGACAACTGAGTACAATAGGAATGAATGCCAACAAGTGATGGAACTCCAACTCTAGTGATCCAAATGCCAGACCAATGTTAAATGCTATTTTTAACACTTACCAAGTGGAGTGAGTTCCACTAAACATATCATAATAATACAGAAAAATTGCTGGAGCTGTATTCCTAAAACTTCTGGAGCCGAGCACTCTTCCTGAGAAGGTTAATAACAACAAAACAGAACCCTCTTTTAGAAATGAAGAATTACCCTGGCAAAAATCTTAATGAAGACCCTGACAGCAGCCTGAAAAGCAGGTGTTGGCTGCACTGAGCATTGCCAGCTCAGATCTGAGAGATCAGCCCCGGGAAGCCACAGGAAATGGGTGTCCTATTGACCTGCACACCAGGGAAATGTGCAAAGGTCTCAAGGTTTCTCAAAGCTGTTCAAGACTCTGACTGAATGGGTCAGAGGTGTTGAAAGCCTCTGACTGTAATCTGCACTTCTTGAGGGAAAGGAGACTGCTGCTCAAGTACCCAGAAAACTGTAACAGCTGATGGAAGTCTGGAGATGTACAAATCACACATTAGGCTTAATGTAAGAACATTAAAAAATATCTCTAGGACTCCTGTGAGCTTCACATGCCACACCAAGAAGCTGTATGTAGCAAACAGCACCATTCTGAGAGTGAAGGCCGTTTGTGTCCCTGTGATGTCCCACCTTTAGTGATCTGTATGCTCCAAAGCCTCCTTTCAGCCTGCCTTATTTCATGCTGCAGAGGTAGGAGAAGACTGGAGCAGCAAAAATCTCCACTTGACTTGTCCAGTTATAGGGGCACACCGTGGCCAGAGCTGGAATAAATACACAGATGACCTCATGACCTGCAAAAGAAATCTCCACTGTGGAGAAAGACTCCAGAGAAGACAAACGCTGTCTCAGCTTCAGGTCCTGCCCTCGAGGACCCAGAGAATTCTGGACAGCCAGCAGAACATTTGAAGGAGTCTTAAAATCCCCATGTTGATGCCATGAGCCTGCTCTGGATGGACAATGTCTCCTTGATGCCTGGCACAAGGAATGTAAGAAGGATCAGTGAGAGAAATCCCAAGACAAGTAAGTAAAAACTAATTGAGGATCTTGAACACTTGAACTGGAAACAGTCCCTGATTCCTTGTCACAGAGAACACTTCCAGATCCTATCCACTGCTTGTGACATGGAAGAATCTTCCCAAAAAGTGGATCACTGAGGCAGCTGGAAGCTCTGCCCCAATATATTACATTGTCAGACACAGGCCTTGAGGCCCTACCTTGCTTCTCCTTAGCTACCTGTTGCAAATTAATTTTCCATTTATCACTTGGTATCCTAGAAGAGACACACCCTCTGTAATCAGTCTCTTGTACCATGCCTTTTCCAGCAAACCCACATCCAGGTAAATTGTGCAGCTGCAGCTAAGCTACAGACCAGGGATGGAGCTGACTCCTATTCAGCCCTGATGGCATGTTGGGAGAGGGGTTATTTTTGGAAAGAAAAAATGGACTTTGGGGACAGCAATAAAAATACTTTTATTACAGAATCTTTTTTTTATTATTATTATGAGTAAAGCATACAAGCTAAAAAAAAAAAAAAAAAAAGACAGGCCAAATATGAGATTAATTCACTCTTCCTTCAAATTTTTACCCACTGCTATTTACCATTATTTTGTTGGGGGTTTTTTTTCTGTGCGAGTCACCTTTTGAAAAACAAAATGTTTTTGCCTTTTCTCAAAGAGAAAACAATTTTTTTCCTCATACAGCTTCCCTTACTGCCTGAACTACATATGTTTTTATCCACAGTAAAATATTTTTAAAGATTAATTTGACATGTCTGATTATTCCTAAGGCAGCTTGTAATTTTCTTCACTGCAAACACATTAATTTACTGAAGCAGCCACTGAACAACACAGTTGAATCTGGAATAGCTCCACAAAATGTACAGCTATTTCTGGAGCACAACAGTTTGTTCTAAGCAGTTCTGGCAGAAACTGCAAGAGCTTGTAAGATGGTGCTACTCACTTGATTCAATAGCATCCAGCTTCTGGAATGTCCCCAGGATATCTCCATTTACTATTTTGGGTAAGAAATCCCGCAGTTGCATAACTTCAGTTGTCAGCCTTTCCAAATCCCTCCTTCTAACTTTAACGAATTCCTCTTTGGTCTCAGTCTTCTGAAATAAAACAACAAAGCAAAACAAAAACAAACCAACAACCAACCAAAGACACTGCTACAGTCCTGTTGTGCTTTTCTGCTTCAGTTTCTTTTCTTGGACAAAAATATTCCTCTCTATGACATCATTTCAGCAATTTGTAACTTTTTAAAGAGAACTATCCAACAACCAAATCTGAGGTTGATCCTTTGACTGTAATCTTAATTTCTACTACTGTGGCCTTAAGTAAATAGCATTACATCTCTTCATGTGTTTCTTCACCCAAAATGTGTGCAATGCATCTGGGAATGCTGCGAAAATTAACACTCACATTTTAAAACGTGAGCAGCACACACCAAGCTGTTGTTTCATGACTGTTGTAAAGGATATGATTACTCAGCTTTTTAATTAATTCAAACATTTGCAAGATCCTCAGTCCTAAATTACAACAACTCTTTTGGAGGAAACTGCACAGCTTTCAATCCAATTTATCTATTGTGAAGAGCAAAAATTACTTGCAGCCATCTGCAATCCAATCTCACATAAATAATTTAACCCCAAGGTATGACAGAAATGCTTACTAGCTTCCTTTCCAGCCAAACTACAGCTATAGAATAATTTTCATTCAACATTCCAGCAGAATGTGTGTTAATTTTAAAATGACAGAGCAATTTCTGTTAAAAAAAAACCCCATGAAGTCCAATTTCTGATGTACATACATGTGCACTCTGCTGATATTAAAAGGGCTGATACACATAAAAACAAAAGGAAAGCTTTAACATGTTTTGACTAAAACATCAATCACATAATAGGCTTTCAGAAAGCCAAGTTATATCTTAGTATTGCTTTGCACTGCACTGAGAACAGTGCTGACAAAATGAGATGTCTTATGGATCACATCTTATTGCAGAGGGAAAAGGCTAACAAACCAAAATCTCATCTACAGCTTCAAAATGTACCATCCCCACAGTCCCCTCAAGAGCAGACACACAAAACAAATCCAGATAGTTTTAGGACAGGACTCCCTACAATTCTTTCTGCTTCCCTTCTTCCTCACACTGAACATTTCCTTTCAGGTTTGCTTCCCGCTCTATTTCTTTCCCAGCTGTCTTTGAAATCCAGATAGTTTTAGGACAGATCAGTCCCACCTCTGTGGGTTCAGATATGTAATGAAAGAAAGCAAGAAATATTTTGCTTTAATTTGAACTGTAAGCTCTAAGCTGCATCTAGGAGTTGCTTATGGCAAGGTTCTTAAGGCCAAGTAGCACCACGTGACGTGACTCTAGAAAAATTCCACTCATCTAGGTCTCAAGAAAGCATGGAACAAACACATGGGAAGAGGAGTATTTAGAGGAATGCCATCTGTGTGTGAGCAGCCATGAATGACAGAGAGAATTCAGCATTGCTCAGACTTACAGGGCAAAATCTGGTACATAAAAATAGCTCTGTTCACTAGCAGAAGCTGAATTCAAATAAAACACGCTGTGAATCACTGGTGCTGAGATATGAAATATGCAGTAAGGAGAAAATTCTCCTTTGTAGTTCCCACTGTCAGCACAGGTCTTTGCAGCACTGCAGCTACAGCAGACAAGTTTTATTTTCTCTATTAAACACCTTCTCAACACCTCTCTGCACTACAGGAGTGTGTTAAAGGCAAATACAGACGGGGAGAACAGGAGTTTTCAGCCCTTACAGTAACAGCAGGTGCCTGGAAGGAGGAAATTTGACTTCACCGAGTTGTTCCTCAGGGGTGAAGTCACCCAGTACCGCACCTGAGCTCATGTCCTGCCTGGGGTGAGCCCAGGGACGGGAATTCCCTTCCCTGCCAGTCGGGGGGGCCGAACAGGGCACAGCTCCCCGCTGGCCATGAGCTCCCAGCGAGGAATCACTGCCAGCCCTGTCCCCACTCACTCTCCCCCAGCCCAGCGTGCCTGTGGCACCGCTCCACGGCCCCCGCCGTGCTCCCCTCTCCCTGCGGCCCGCCATCGCCCCCTCAGGGCCCCGTAAGGCCCAGGACACCACACAACCCCCGCTCCTTCTGCTCCTCGGGGCACCCACGCCCGCATGGACCCCCGGGCTGGGCCGGGCCTCAAGGCCAGCCCCGAGCGCCCCCGGGCCGCCCGCGATACCTGCGCGTCGCCAGCGAGGCCGGCGCTGCGCCACATCGCCTCAGCGGCCGCAGCGGCGTCGTGCGCCGGTGGGGGACGGCGTGAGGGGGGGAAGGGACAGACTACAGCCACGCCCCCGCCGCGGCCACGCCTACTCCTATTGGGTAGATGCTTTGTGGAGGCGTGGTCTGGGCGTGGTCTGATGGTTAGGCTCCGCCCCCAGTCCCGCCCGGAGCGGCCCCGCGATTACACGGGGATAAGATTGGAATAACAGCGGGACAATACCGGGATAACACTGGGGTAGCAGTGGGACAATACCAGGAAAACACCGGGATAACACTGGGACAACACCGGGTTGTGCGGAGCTGCGGGCCGGCCCTGCCGTGGTGCCGCTGGGGCTGCAGGGCTGACATCAAGCTGGGAGGGAGCATTGGTCTGGAGGAGGGCTCTGCAGGGGATGTGGACAGGCTGGATGTGTTATGAATAAAAAGATACCTATTTTTATTTAAGGTTACAGAGAAAAAAAAACGGTGGGACCAGTTGCTGTTAAATTAGCTTAATTGTAAAGAGTTCCCCGGCACTCCGCGATGCCCCGGCACTCCGCGATGCCCCGGCCCGTCCCCGCGCTCCGCCTCCCCGCGGTGACGGCAGAGCCGGCGTCGCTGACGGCATCAGGCGGAGCCCGGCACGGCGCGGTCAGACCGGGCCGGCAGCGGGGCAGGGACGGGGTCGGGCCATGGCTCCCGCGGCCGTGCAGCCGCCCGAGGTGCAGTTCGCGCAGCGCTTGGCCGCCAACGAGAAGCGCATCCGAGACCGCGCCCTCAAAAAGCTGCGGGGCTACATCGGCGTGCGGACCCAGCGCCCCGGCGGTACGGACCGGGGCGGACCGGGCTGGGAACGGGAACGGGAACGGGGACGGGGACAGAGACAGAGACAGAGACAGGGACAGGGACAGGGACAGGTTCCGGTGCTTGGCGGGGGCAGCGGCGGCCCCGGCGGCCGGACGGCGTGGGGAGCAGAGGAAGCACCACGTGTGCGCCCCGAGCCCGGCACGCCTCCTCGCGGCTTCCTCTCGGGATTGTTTTTTTTTCCATTTCACTTTACATTTTGCCTTTTTTTTTTTTTAATTATTACTTTTTTTTTTCTTTTACCCGGTGCTGCCCCAGCAGCCGGGAGCCCAGGCACTCGTGGATCCTCGCTCGGGAAGGGGCTCGGGAAGGATGGGCTTGGAGCGAGGGAGGGTCTCGCTGGCAGCATTAACAAATCCGGGCTGGGAGCAGGATGGCTCGTGTGCTCTCGGTCCCAAGGAACAAGGAGTAAATGTGCTGAAAATATCCAGGCTGGAAACAATCTGGTATATGCAGCATAAAGTTTAGTCTTCTGTTGTTTCTATGAGGTCTGTTTCCATGACTGATGTTCAGGAGAATCGGAGGGAATCGAGGAAAGCTAAGTTATGTTTCAGCACGTGTGTAATTGCAGCTGATTCTGTGTAACCCGTTTGTTACCTCCACTTCATGGTATCAAGAGTTTTTTTTCTACGTTTTTCCAAAAATTCTGTTTGGAGCTGTATACTGGCACCTTAGAACTAAGAGTTCAGTGATGTCCCTGGAGCCTGTTTGAGGCTGGCAAGGCCAGTCTGAATCTCCCTGTGCCTGAAAGTGCCTCATGTGCACACTTTCCACATGGATGTGTGTTATTCCTATACCTCATATTACATATAATATATATAATGTCATGTATAATCTATATTTTATATTTCTTTTATATATTTCTTTATATTTCTTTTATATAAAACATATCTTTTATAAGCTGCTTTATACATTATTTTATTATATATTTAAATTATTTATTATTGTATATTACATCTATATTTTTTATGTTAGAATACATAATGTATATGGCTTTGGGGAACCAGCCTAGAGCTGACCTCAAGAGCTAAACTGGAGTGCTGGTTGGACCTCTGTGACTTCCTGTATTCACTGTAAAGTGAATATTGTTTCTTGCCTTTCCAAGTAGTATTTGACCCATTAGCCACGTGTGACAGAGGGAAGGTCCCCCAGAACAGCCTTACGGGGTCAGTCCAGGGAGCCAAACAGGCATTATCCCATTCCTGGCAGTTAACACAGATCTAGGGATTGCCTGGGGACTAGGATGGTGTACATCCTGTACCTCCCAAGCACTTTCTATTTTTTAGCTCTGGAGACTTTCTGAGGGGGGCTGTGTGTTCAGCAGTGCTCTGAGCATCTCACTGCAAAGTGCAGATTCCTTGGAGTTTGTGGAAGCAGCCACAGGAAGGACAGGGGTGCCCCTAACTGAGGGAAGAGGCTGCAGGTTCAGGCACTGCTGTAAAACATCATGAAACCACAAGGAAAAGCCACAGCTGAGTTGGGCTGCGAGCCTTTTGCATGTTAAAATCAGCACACCATGGAATGCAAATGAGTAGGAACCAAGGGTGATTAATTTCCAGAGCTCTCAGATTTGCTTGCTGTTAGATACTATCCAAACTGGTAGTATTAAAACAAAGATTTAACTTCTTTGGGCTTGGAGAGAAAGCATATTCAGGAGAGAGGGTTTTTTTAAAGTTATTTATTAATTAGCAGTTATAATTATATAAAAAGTTACATATATAAAGTATATAAAGTTATCTATTATTAGCAGTTATTTATGAATTAGCAATTATATTATAATATATATTATTATACCCATCCAATGTTCTGAGAGGGATTCACACATCAGGCAGCCCAGGTAAGATGCCCTGACCTGAGGAGTTGGGAATGTGCTGACTTTTGGCAGAAGTGCTGGAGTTCACCTGATGTTCAGAGCTGTCAGGTGTTTTATAGGTGGACAGGGCTGCTCTGTGTGCTCTGTGCTAAGGCTGAGGGAGCTTCTTCAAAGAGCCAGAGCTCTTAATTTTCAGCAAGAAGTTAAACTCTTAGAGAGCACTGAACTACCAAATGAATCAATGAAAGAATAGTAAACAGAAATTACTTAGAGTAAAAAAGAGCAGATTGCTGGGGGAGTTTGCTGTCTGACAGAGCTGCACTTACTTGGGCCTGGATCTCTAAGGGATTTATATAATTTCCAACTTATATAATTTCCAATTTATAAGTTTGAAATGTGCCTGTGTGGATCTGGTCCACACAATTTAATTACAATTAATTACAATTATCTAGAATATGAAAAATTGTAACAAATTCAATGGTAGCAGTGTCAAAGCAGCCCAACTCCCAGTGAGAAAGGCTGGCAAAGCTTGCATTAAAGTAGCTCTGAGTGGTTGTAACATGTTCATCCCAGCTCCACTATACACAGAACAGAGCTACTGTGCACAGGGACAGCTACAATTCAAGCCCTAAAGCCAAAATCTTTCTCAGGATAGGTTCAAGGTATAGGCAGCCTTCAGTTCTGGGCATTGTGGTTGCTAATATAATGCATTCAAGTTTTAAAATAACCTTACTTTAGTGGGTTTTATTTGCCAGCTGTGGCTGGGGACAGCACATAAAGTTGAACAACAGAAAACACAATCTTGAAACTACTCTTGAGGCACTGGGATAAGAAAATTGCTTTATTTTTTGGTCAGAGTCTTATGTCAAATGGACACAGGACTGCTTAGGACACTTTAAAAAAGCCCTGTGTGTATGGAAAGCAAAAAAAAAAATTATGTCAAATGGACACAGGACTGCTTAGGACACTTTAAAAAAGCCCTGTGTGTATGAAAAGAAAAAAAAACCCCATGAAAGTCTGTATTTTCTTCCCTCAGAGCACAGGAACAGGCTGTCCAAGGCAGTGGTGAACTTATTGTCCCTGGAGGGATTTAAAAGATGTGTAGATGTGTGGCACTAGGGGACATGGTTTAGTGATGGCCTTGCAGTGATTATCTGAGAGGTCTTTTCCAACCTGAATAATGCTATGATTAAATTCTGTGAACTCCTGAGCCACATTTATAGGTAGCTGGTGATGCCTCTAGGGTTAATGCTGCCTGTGAGGTTAAAACTGCTTCTTACCACTCAGTATGTCACATACAATCCCCTTAAGAAATGTTATTAATTTTAATATTTCAATGAATCTTAAATCAGTGAATCAATTTGTTTCATATTTTATCGTAACAGTACTGTCAAATCTAAGTTAAATGTATAATTAATGCTTAATATTACTGGACACATTGCTTCCTTCATAGCATTTTGCATATCCCCTCACTTCCTTTCTTTTCACGCAAGCAGAGCTAATGTGTTTGCAGGTGTTTTTGTCTGAATGAATTTTGTTTTCAAATGACTTGGTCCACAGAGAAGGTGCACAGTTTATATCTTGCACTGGGTCTCAGGCTTTTTGACTGGCAGACCCCTGAGACAGCGATCTTTTTGGAGCAAATTTGAGGTTTCTGAAGATGATGCCCTTTTCAAAGTGCTTTTTCATGAGATTTCTTGGGAGTATTTAATAGGCCATAGTTTGAAAATAGCTGTAGTAGGTCACTGTAGCTGCCTTGTAACAATGTACTGTTACAATTTTACTTCGCATAAATTTTGCTGATGTAATGAAAAACCCAGTTCTTGAGCAGGTATCAGTGACTTTCTATGTAGTACTTTACTTCTGGAATGTGAAAATATTTTTTTGCTGTTAAAATTCAGGTGTTACTACATCCCAAGACTAACTATCAGAAAAACTTTCATTGTAGTTGATCAGGCTCTTTGACTGTAAAGTTTAATGTAGAAATAAGTGTGTTGATTGCTATAAGTTTATTCTATCAAAACAAACCCCTAGTAAGGAGTAAAACTATTGGTAGAGTGAGACTTGTTAAAAACAACAAAATAAAAAATATCATGTTTCTTGTAAAACTATTTCTGATACTCTCATTAAAAATTTCTTTCAGACTTGGTGTTAAAAATATGCCAGAGGCATTTATCAGAATTATCTTGATATTCATCTTACCTGTGATTGCTTTGAAATTCTTGTTGTTTCAGTACAAGGTAGAAGGTTACAGTTTCTATCACTGTTCTATAGCAAATTGCCTTCCAGTTAATGTGCTTACAGGAGCAACCCAGAAACAATAACAAAAACAAAGAAGAAAGCAGAGAGCAGAGGGAACTGCATGAAAATATTTTGGTATCTTGGTATTTTTTTCCTTTCATTCAGACTTGTTCTGTACTGTAGGTGGCTTCAGTCTGGAAGAACTGCTGAAAATATGGAAGGGCCTTTTCTATTGTATGTGGATGCAGGATAAACCTCTGCTTCAGGTATAGTAACTGAGTTTTTATTTGCTTGAGGGGGTCCCTCTAAAATACACTCTAGGGACATACTAGTTTAGAATGGGGGAAATTATCATTTCTTCCCCCTCCCCTGCAGCCCATTTATGGCAGGTGCAGAAGAGGTGACTGTAACTCGGTGATCTGAACATGAACAGATCATTTTTGGAGTCACCTTCTGAGGGGCTGGTGTAGCTGTTTACCTTTCAGAAGGGGAGCTAAAAT